AGGTTTCCAACTAACAGCTTCCAGTGTTTGGACCTTTCAGAAGAGGATTCAAGTACTTTTGCTTTTCTGCTTTTGGTGGATACTTAATTTTGATGAGGGAAGAACACGATATAGAGGGAGGTTAATCAGCAACCCTTTGTCCTGATTATTAAGGAAACTCTTTGGCATTTAATTCAAAGCATGAGAGCAGTTCCACAGCCTTCAGGGACACAGAGCTAATGTCCATTTTCCAGATGATATGGTTGCAGAGAGGTTACACAGGTGATGATGTTGATAACTACTGCCATGCTTATCATGCTGGTCCCTTTATTAGACTTCAATGTGTGTTTTTAATCAAAAAAAACTTCACCAGGAATTTGTTGAGTTTCAGTACATGCAGATTTTGAAATGTACAACTATAGTTTGATACAAGACTGATGGACTGTCCTATGTATCACAGACAACGGCAACATTCTAAACCTTGTGCAGGGTGCTCCTTTACAGCCTCTGCTCTCATTTGCCTGTATTTTAACCATGCCTTCCATTTCAAAGTCGGCTTTAAGCTGACAAAATTCAGAGGGTTCCAGTTGAACCCAGAGTTCAGCTGGATGCTAGAATGGGCTGCAAATCCCACTCACACACCCTCTGTGCATTCTGAGTGCCTGAGAACAACAAATACTTACAAGTAAGTAAAAATTAGACTTAAGGTGTTTTAGTGTCCAAGAGCAGTGACAACAGTTATGACAACTTTTGGTCTTACTACTGTGATTTCCCCCCATGACATGGGAGAAAAAATAATGAATATTAACATTTGTGAACAAACAGACACCGCAGAGACAAGGATCACAGAAAACCTTTTACATGCAATTAGCATTTTTTACATTCAGTGGAAGTTTTCTATCATAAGCCATGGAAAAGAAGGCTTTGTGTGAACATATGAACAATGAGCATAAAATTAAATGTTGAATAACTGTTCATTTCACAAATGCCTTCCACCTAGTGTAACATGATAGAGAAGTAATGTAAAAGTAGTTTGCAGTTGTGCAACTAAACCCCTTACTGCAAAGCATAAGCAAAATGGCTTGAGCAGCCTTAATTTAATGATTTCTTGTGACCAATTAGCCTTAATGTGTTTATTAATGTTGAGATTTTGTTTTAATTCCTGTAATTATTAGTAGATATTACACAGGGAGGAAGGAGTTCCTTCAGCCCCAGGCAAAGGGCATGTGACAAAAGGACTGTGTAGTATTCTCCAAGCTCATTTGTATGGGGCTGGAATTCCTCATAGCCTGGGCTGCCATTTTTCCCTTTTTATGTTCACAAGCTCCCTTCTCTCTCTGCAGCAGCGTGTGTTTGTGGTAGTGAGGGACAGATGCTCAATCTCAACAAAGATCAATGTGGCTCCAGGGAGCACTGGAGCATCTTTTCCCTGATATTAGACTCTACTATCCTGAGGCTGTTCCTATGTGGCAGCTTATCAGGTTGCCAGTCTGTCTTTAAGATAGCTCTCTTTATCTTGTTTTTTTAAATAAGAATGTATATTTAAAAGACATACCTGTCCAATAATAAGAGGGACTACAACAGTCATAAACAGCTGCGAGAATATGGATGTAAAAGGCACAGAGGAGGATGATCCAAGCTACAAAATAAAGATACACCATTAACATTGCACTTTTTCTTACTATCTACAAATTTCATACACAGATATCCCACATTAATATGCATTTCATTTCACACATAAAAACTGGGAACTGTGTGCACTGGAAGTAGTTGCACATGTTTAATAGTTAAGTCACAATAAAGCATTTGGTGTTCCACAAAACAGAGCTAAACCAACCTCTGATTATTTTATAACTTAGGGTAATATTTCCATCAATATTCATTTAATTGAAAACCTGCTGCACATATATGCCAAGTAAATTATATAAGCATTTGTAGGATGATAGTCTAAAGAGACAGGGAATGAATCCTCCTAACTAAACAGTTAGCTTGACTTACTTTACCATTTATACAAACATCAAACAACAGAAGTCAGTGTAGTTATTCCAATAAATAAATGAAAATAATGAAATAGTGAAGAAAACATTCACATGTTCTATTTCAGTACTGTCTAAAAAGAGATACACTGGAAGTATAGAACTACTCTTTTGTTAAGACAACTGAACTGACAGTCTTAGTCTTCAAATAGTTGATCTCTCTAACAATAATTGTAAATGATACAAGTATTCTTTTTTTAAGATGCTGGTGGAAAACAGGAACACACAGTCAGTGGGATTTTTCAAACCTGCTTCAGAATGTTTAAGAAAATATACAGTATTTTTTACATTCTAACTGGACGTGTTTTAGGCTAGGTAATTGGAAAGTTTCCTTTAATGTAATTTCACACCTCTAATAGCAATGGAACACACATTAAAAAACATACACTAAGGAGACTGAATAGCATTGTCAGAGCTCCCATAGACAACCACTTGCTTCACAATGAGGCAAAGGACACAACATTAAGGTTTTCACAGATCCACCCTATTTTATATTTTACACTTCACTTTAAAGATTCTCAAAATAACAACAGAATACAGAATCTTTTCAACACCATCTAAATGATGCTGATTTCCTAAAGCATTCTTACATACATCATTCTCATAAATGATACTTTTCACATTTACCTTCTTTTCCCAACTACCTTTGTGACAGACAAGGTGATCGTGCAATCTAGTAACTTTCTATAAGCCTGCCTTGAAAAATCAACATATGGCTATACAAGTGGGTTTGGCATAAAACAAGATTCTTCATAAATTTGAAAAACAGAAAAATCAGAAACTTCATAGAGTGAAATATTTTAATTTATGCAGAAATGTAGAAGTGCGCTGCTTTTTTGTACATTTGTACACGCACCACTCGGGAAATGGGCGAACACACCTGTGGGGGACGTCTCTGGGCAAACTGAGCTTTTGGCGCAGGCAAATGGCCTCAGATTTCTTATGTCCCTTGCTGAATACACTCTGGGTGGAGAGATTCAGGAGGAATACACAGGACCTGGCTTTTTCCTATGTGCTACCTGAACTGGCAACAGCAGCTAAGACTCAGTGTGACTGCTGAACAAATCACAACATCTCACCACCGTCACCTCCAGCTTTAATGACATGGGCACATGGGAGGGGACCTGAGGATGATGCCACAGCTGGGAATTTTGGTCTGCAGGTGGGGACTCTGTGAGCCTAAATTTCCCACAGAGTCAAGAGGGAGAAGTAAAAACTTGCATAGGAAGATTGGGATCACCCATGAGTACCCAAAGTCTGGCAGTGCAGCCACATTCCCAAGGGACACAGGGCACTCTGAGTGTTTCGCTACAGAGTGCACAGACCTCCAGCATCACACTCATCATCTCCTTCTTGTTTTAATTCTTGTAAGAAGCTTCTGAAATTTTAAAAGGTTCTTAGTTTTTCAAATTGTATTTGGACTTATTGTTATGCGCTGAGGAGTTAAAAGCATTACTTACTGTGTATTCCAGGAAGCCTTTTCAAGTCAAAGTGAAGATTTTTAAACTTAAAAATCTGCCTGGGCCACAGAGGAGTCAGTCTAAGCAAGCCAGGACACTTGAACAGCTTCACAGAGCAACAACACTTTGGCACTGACTCCTGTGCTTTTCTATAAAAATGTTGATTGGAATTTGCTCACTACTTTTAAGTTTTATGCTCAGTGGATGCATAATCAGTTTCTAAGTCAGGAATGAAAAATTATTCAACAGTATTCAACAGACTGCTGAAAAAGGCATAGTCTTGCCAGCTTTTTAAAATGTTACTTCAAACATAGTATCTTCAAACTGTTGGGAATTTTTAAGCACTTTGTGTATATATGAGGATATGTTCTGCTTTGGATGTGGGGCTTTTGGTATTTGTTTTGCTGTGTTTTGTAGATAATTACAAACTGAATTAAAGGTACTAATACTACATCTTCAAACAGACTTCTAAACTTTGTTTGCCTCTGTATATTTTGACAATAATTTCAGTGGGCTGTTTTTTATCAAAATCTGTTAGATTATGTCTATCAACTCTTGTATTACCTTACACTTAAATCCGTTTCCTGAGAAAGACACAGAAGATAAGCTATAGGCTGAAGAGAAGGCATGAACTTCTCAATCACACAGAAAATAAAGACATTTTAACCCAGACTATGGACATATGGTGGCTAACCACAAAGATACTACAGAACCCAAAGCTAATGGAGGCATACTTTGACCAGGGCCTTCTCAACATTTGTAGCATGAAAATTCATCAGGTCACAACTCTAAGTGTCCCATGGACGCTCAGACATTGCCTGGGCTCCAGAGTTCCTCTGAACTATCTTTTGGATATGTTTGCCATGCTTGTTTTGAGAAGTAAGTAGGAAATAAAAACCTTGATATAATGTTAATCAAAGCTTCCTACACACTTACAAATGCAAATATTCTGTCTGAATAAATGAATAGATTTTGACTCAGGTTTTAGTTGGATCAAGCTAAGTTCTGTGCTCCATTAGCTGTCATGACAGGTTTTTTTTTTAAGAACTATCTAGATGATGTGCATTGCACAGAAATGACTATTAGGCTGAAATTATTAGCAAGATGATTATCTTTGGCTGGCCTCCTTATTATAATAATCTCTATGGCTAAAAATGAACCTTTCTTCAATGGCAAACAGATGTACTGTAAGAACTGGCATAAAAACATCATAAAATCAAACTGCTGATGTATAGCTGAAAAAACACTGCCTCTACCTGACTGGAATGATGTACAGAAGATAAAATGCACCACTTAAAAAGGAATCACAAATTTCATGCCACCATATTGTCAATGCTTGTTTAGGAACATTTTTTAAAGTTTGATATTGTGAAGAGATTGTACATACCATTCTGGAGAGCAACATTTCAGTTAAAGGGTTAATAAGCCAACCCTGCTTTAATGGGCTCACTATTCAAGAAAAGAGTCTGAAAATTCTTGATTAATGAAAGATATCTTTTACTTAAATAATCTGAGTGTTTTCAGCAGGGTAACTCAGATAAGCAGAAAGAAAATCCCAGGCAAATCTTCTCAAAAAATTCTGTCACCATGCAGTACTTCAAACCTGACCTGCAGCATTCTTGCTAATTTAGTCCTAGACCCTTCTTCTCAAGAGACTGCCTGTTTTATAAAAACCCACCAAATAATTCAGTGGGTTTCTTTATGAGGTTGTGGTAGAAACACTGGCTTATCCTTAATTAAAAGGCTATATTTAACTGGATATGGTAAAAAAACAAAGAGTAAACCCCAAACTTCTTGCATAAAAACAAGACAATTCCATCTTCCAGCCTAGACTGTCTGCACAAGCCAGACCCTTCATTCTCATCTTTCTGGCTGACCAGGCAGGTATCACAGGGGGTGTTCCCACATCTACACTGCCATGGGCTCAGAAGAAACACATGATGCCAGTCCCACCAAATGACAGCCCAGTGACACATGTGCTGCACACACTGTGCCCTCTTTGGAGCAGGCTGTCCTTTGGGGGCAGCTTTCACCCTCCAGTGCTCTCCTGCAATTAATGCTTCCTCGGCTTGTGTCTTTGTGCTCCTCACACACCATCAACCAGCTCCAGCCTCACCAGTTCCAGCCTCACCAGTTGCTGAGCACAGAGCAGGAAGTGAGGCAGGGGAGAAAAGAGGGCAGAACTGATGGGGAGGGGCACTCCTGGCTCCTCTTTTACACAAGATATTCAACTTTAAGCTTTTCTTTCCTACATTCTGGTGGAAGGGTCTGGCTACTCTGACACCCCCTTTAAATTTTGCATTCAATGCTGTATTGTCACAGCTTCTGGTTCCCTCATCCAGCCCAGATCCAGCTGCCTCAGAGGCCTGTCTGGAACACCCCCATGCCCCAATCCCTTTACATCCTGTTGGGGATGGCAGGTCCACTACAGAAAGGCCATAGAATGCAATGCACTTTTGGAAAAGAGGTGGATGGCATCCAGTTTGGTGATGAAGGGCAATGAACAAGAGTTAGCAGCTGAACAAAGCCCTCCCTTGCTCTGGACTCCTTCCAGAGCCCTCACCCTGACCCAGTCGTGGCAGCATGTTACAGTGCAGCAGAAAAATACCCAGGTGTCCCTCAGAAACCCAGAAATGGAACTGCTGTGATGGAACTGCCACGGCAGCAATGGTGCTGAGGCTCTGGGAAGCAGGCAGCACCTGGAAGAGCACTGATGTCCTCCTGTGCCCACAGTGCCCAGCTCCAGTTTCAGGCAGGAGGTGGAAAGGGATCATTCCTACACAACATCTGAGCAGAGCTGACAGGTCACTGGGGTGCCCTTCCCACCTCTCTCTTTACAGGCACAGCATTTGGATACCCTGGTAAGGCACAGAAGCCATGCAGGAGATGCCAGCTCCCACCCACTGACCCCCAGTCATTGACTGGTGTTGAAATAATCCACCTGGAATGGGTGGAAGGGAAGGGGAGGCATATCACTGAGAACAGAGTTTCTATAGGACATGCTTAAATTTAAAAATAAAGGTTTTAATCACACCTGTCAAAAACTGCAAATTGTCTCTTGCCTCAGAAAGGGGTATGGTATCCAATACCATATCGAACAGAGATGGTACCCAATGCTTTGGCAGTCATGTATTTTAACAAGG